TTGGTATTTATGCAAGATGACTTTCTGGGGTCAGGGATTTAGCTCAGTGGTTCTGCTGCCTGCCTAGTTAGATCACCCTTACATATATATATATATATGTATGTATGTAATATGTATGTATGTATATATATATATATATATATATATATACATATATACATATATATATTAAATAACCTTACACACATAAAATGCAAGTAGTCGTACTAGAAATTTATCTTCAGAAATGGAAGAATATAATGACAGAGAGAAAGTAGCGATAGTAATTTAAACTTGCTGTAAATAAGGTTCCTGCAAATAAAACAAGATAAATTAAAATAGAAGAAAAGATATTGGGAGTAAGATATTGTAAGATAACTAACACTTCAAGACATTGGCTAGAGAACCTATGTGAAAACTTTCTTCTTGTCCCCTTACAGCAAGAAAATTGTAAAAAATTATATATCTAAAATAACAGTAGGAAGCTGTCATAATTTTAAAATGTACTCTCTAGGTGACCAAAAGTTTCATAAGCAGTGGCCCACAATAGGATGGGAAAAGATATTTTTACAAGTCTTACAGTCTTAGAGCAGCTACCTGTCCCCCTCACATACATAAAAGCATTCAAACTTAAACTATACTGCGAAGAAAATACACAATTTTAATACATTGTCTTAGACCACACCTGGAGAGGGGTGTTCAATTTTGAATCCCACCTGACCTTCAGAGGTAGGAAATGTTTCTGGTCCTGTAGTGTCTCTCTCTGCTACTCAGTTATGTGGTTTTAATGCAAAAGTAGCCATAGACAATATGTTAACAATCAGACATGGCTCTATTCCAATAAGCTTTATTTATTAAAACCAAGGTGTTAGATTTGGCTGTCTCTCGAAAAATAAACATTGACAAATGTTAGAAGGCCTAAATTAATATTATTAGCCTATTTGGAAACCTGGAAATCCTATCATACAAGGGATGATTGAAAAGATTACTAACATTTAGTCTAAAAAAAAAGATAAATCCTATAACTAATAAAATTTGCTTTCTCGCACTCAAGTGCAAGATTCCATGCATTCCTTCGCTTAATAAAATTCATTTCGTTTCGATCTTCGATCACAAGGGAGTGCACCAAAAATCTCTTTTCAGTTTTATAGTATATCCTGCTTGAGCACTGCCAGCGGGAACCAAGAGCTCATAGAGTCCGGGGCCTTGTGAAAGGGCTCTGCTCTTCAGATTGTCGTGTTTTCGCTGGAATCGGCGCTGTTACTTGTGGGGCCTGGTGCTTGACCCTGCACCTTGATTCCTTCCAAGGCTTTGCTGCTTGTGTTTTTTACCTGTTGGGCCTGTGCTCTTAGAGCAAGATTAAGAGACTCCTGCACTGCTCAGTGGTGCCAAAGTCAGAAAATGCCTACCTGTCTCTTTGTGGGGCCCAGACACCAGCTCCCCATGCTTTCCCTAGGAGCTCGGTTCAGTGTGCAGGTTGGGTACCAGGGGAAGGTCTTCTCCCCACAACACTGGACAAGCTGCCCAGCTCCCTCTGGACTTCCAGGGGCTCCACACAGGCCCTTCTGACGTCTTGACACAGACTTTAAGATCTGCGTGGAGAAAGGAGTCATGCATTTATGAAAAGCTAACAATTCAAGAAAGTAGCAAATTCCGAATGACTCGTGGAAAAGACAGAAAATGGTGTGTGAGTGTTGGAGTAGGTGGGGAGTGTCATGTTTTTATTTTTAAACATTTATTTCCATTCACGATCTTTTACCTGACTGTATATGCATATAAGTGTCTTGCATTCATGGTAGAGTCAGTGTGATATTTGAAATGGAACTCACGGCCTCCAACCTCTGTCCCCATGAACCATTTCTTTCCATTCTTCCCATGCTACTAGTCAATCTAGAACTGTCTTCAGCATCTCCCTTTCCACCTCACACCCATCTGGTCATCGAAAGTAAAGCAGTGTTGTCTTTCTCTGTAGCATCTCTCCTGTCTTAACACCATGTTATTCATATTGCCGGTGCCTCGTATGGGGCCCCAGCTCAGTCCCACAGGGCTGACAGGCGGTCTTCTATCCCACTTCTTTGCTGTGGTTACATCCTTTGTCTGTTCCCCACACCATGCCATGCTGCCAAGTGAGCTTCCTAAAGTACGAATCTGCTCTCTTTCCCGCCTCAATACTGAAGGCTTCTTTTTGTTGCTTTTAAACTAACATTCCGGCTTCTTTATTTGAAATGTCAGGTGATAGCATGACCTGACCCTTGCCAACACATCATTTCTTACCCATTATTGGTTTTCTTATTGTTTATTACTATTTCTTATGGCTAATGATTCTTACCAACTTGTAGAATGGGCTATGATTTCTTTCACTTCACTGCTTTGAAATCTCAGCCTGAAATGGTCCGGTCCCCTGATCTCCTAGAGGCTGGCCATGTGCTCGGAAGTGAAGCTTTGTTTTCTGCTCCCGCCACAGAAGGCCAAAGAAGCACCTCTTCTTGTGTTCTCTTGCAACTTACCAAGGTATCTTCTATGGCATTACTGGTTGCACTTTTTCATTCTTTTAGCTATTTCCCTAAAGAGTATTATTCTTTAATATTGGGAACAGCTCCTTTCATCTTGACAGCCTTAAAACCTGGGAAATAATAAGGATCATTGTATTTCATCTTTGTAGAAATAACCTGAGCAATGAATGGATAAAGTCATACGGAATGGAAGAAAGCTCTAGCAAAGGCTTTGCCCTGAGGAAACATCTGTCATCTAGCACGTGTGAGACTCTGGGTTCCATCCTGAACACCACCCCCAAAAAAGCTGATCTCAGAAATCTCTGCCAGTCCCATGAGTCTTCATTTGTTGAATCAAGTGGCTTGGCCAGTTCTCTCATCTGTCAGCTTTCCCAGCAGTTCATCGCTTCATCTGCCTTGAATGCTGTCCTGCCTTGGCCTCCAGGACTGTGTGCTCCCATGGCTCTTCCTATGACTGCTCTCTTCTCGTTCTTCTTGTTGACTCATTTCCGTTCCTCACCAGCCTGTCGTCTGCTGATCTACAGTCATTACCCTGGTGTTCTCATATTCTCAAGACTTCGTGTGCCATTCCTACACTATCGAGATCAAAACAGCTCTTTCCTTGGTATCTTCTCTGAGCCCCGGACTTGTTGGACAGCTCTAGTTGACTCTCCGGTAGAAATCCCTGAGTTACCGAACTGCTGAAACTTACCATTCTGCAATCTGCCTAAAACCCTGGTTCACCTGACCTTTCTCATCAAGCACCTGTGGACTCCGCTCTGTCTCCCTCCTCACAGTCAGTCCATCCACAGAGCGTGTCTTGGCTGTATTTAGAACCCATCCACACCGGCCCCGCCGGCCTGACCACCGCCACTCACAGTTGGTTATCTTTCATCCTGTTCACTGCGTCTGTCACCAGCCTTTGAGCAGCCTCCATCTCGCTCAGAGTCAGATCCTGCGTCTCTCACTGAGCTGCTGCCTCCTCATTGTCTGACGCCCCATCAGGTCACCTGCTCAGTCCCCTTCCCCTTCACTCCTTCCACCACCCTGGCTTCCGAGGGTGCCCAGGAGTCAGGGAGAGCAACATGGCCCGGCTCTCCCGTCTTCTTCTCATCGTGCTCTTTCCTTGAATCCTTGGCTCAGACTCCATCCTCTTGTTGAGGCTTTTCCCCGATCGTCCTATTAAAAATAAAATTCCTAGGGCCGGGGATTCACCTGAGTGGTTCCACCACCTGCCTCACAAGCGTAAGGTCCCAGGTTCGATCCCTGATCCCCCCAACAAAAAATAAATAAAATAAAATTTTTTAAATCCTATTTCAATTATTCCTATTCCCTCTGGTACTTAAATTTTCTCCATAGCTCTTACAACCTTCTAATACACGATTTTGTCTTATGTTATTATTTTGTTTATGTCTGTCTTTCTCCGGCCAGATGGAAAGTTCTGTGGAACAGAAATTTTTATGTGTTGTTTCACAGCTATTCTCTAAACAAGCACATCCCCTCCCAGTGATAGTTTCTGGATGAATAAAGAATTCACACATAGTTTTTGCATTTATGAGTGTCTGAAAGTATCTGGATTGCATTAATATTTTGTTTCCTGTTCACAAAAATCCTATAGTTTCTTGCCGGGTGTGGTGGTGAATGCCTGTAATCCCAGCACTCTCTAGGCTTAGGCTGCAAGTTCGAGGCCAGCCTGGGCTACATAGTAAATTCAAGGCCAACCTGAACTACGTAGTCAGACCCTGTCTTTTAAAAAACAAACTAAAAGGTGCTATAATTTCTGTGTTCATTTTAAAGATGAAACTAAAATTTCTAAGGTTTAAGTCCGTGTTTCTTCAGCATTTTCCACTTTAAGATGCTTTAAGATTTTCTTAATGACAGCATTCTGGGTGGTGAGAGAGAAATCTTTCAGGAAACACCGTCTTGTATTTTGCTACATGTTTTATTTAATGGTAGTTTGAGAAATGCAGACCACATGTTCAGTGTGCTAGGAGGCCTCTAACCTTTGATACACTCCTGCTTGGGGTTTTTCAGTTGTTCATTCTCAATTCCTGCACCTTTAAGCCAGTATGTTTGGGAAACAAACAAATACAGCTTGTGTATAACTGAAGTTCATTTAGGGAAGCAGGAAATCATAAAACTAATGATAAAATTGTTCCATGCTGTAGAGTTTTAGAGTGCTTGGTTAAGAACTGAGTTCGTCTGTTGCTTCCCAAAACTGTAGCCATTCTTAAGAATCCTTCCCAACCACCCACCTCCTACTGTCATAGTGTTAAACAAGACTCTCAGGTTTTTGTTCAGTAGCCAGCCCTGGTATGTGCTCCAGCCATATACCAGGACTTAGGAGCTAAAGCTGCTGAAGGTTTGCAGTTCGCATTCGGTTTATTTGCAATTTATGTCTTGCAGAAGAACATTCCCATTGTGTGTAATGTGCAACCAGGTAAATCTGATGGAACGGTTAGTGGGATGTCTTTCAGAGTAATGTGCTCTGCCCTGCCTCACAAGAGTGTTTTTCTCCATCTGTTGTAGGTCAATGCACAAACTGGCCCAGTTGGAAAGACTTGACCTAGGCAATAATGAATTCGGTGAGCTGGTAAGCACTGCATTTTCTAAGCTTGCTAAGAACACTCCGGAAGGTTATTTCTTTTGCTCTGTTTTTGTAACCCCGGGTATTAAAGCATCATGTTCACATTTGAGCTTGCCACATATAAAAAAATTAGACCTGGGAGTGAAAGTACTTGAGCACATAGAGAGCCACAGAGAACTGGATGTTAGGTTGTATTAAAACGGATACTGGGGAGGAAGTAGAAGCCCGGTGGCAGTTTTGAACAACAGCTTTGTGTCACGCGCCATGTTGAAGGTGTTCCGTGTGTTTTCTCATTTAATCCTGACTTGCTGTGTTGCCATTTTAACTTCATAGAAATGAACTTGAAGTGGCTGCTGACTTCTGTAGCTACTGTGTGCTTGAACAGAATTTAGGCTGAGACTTACTTGACTGACTCCAAAAATCCACAACTTGAAGCCTTCTCCCTGGGAGGCTTTTTGGTAGCATGGCATGAGAAAAGCATCACCAATGACACTGTAATTTCAACTGCACTGAAAGTGGCTTTCTATTAAACTCTATTGCTGCCTCACTTCGAGGGAGAGTGGAATTCTACTTGGCCTTTCCGGGTTCAGTTTTCATTAAAATCTGCCTCAAGAACAAATGTCGGGAGTGTATCAAAAATAAACGTTCCTATGTATTAAGTCCGGAAAGTCGCCCACTTGGACGTCTTGAAACCTGACAACTCCAAATCACCCGAAGTATACTTCAACTGCATTTGAATTAAAACATTTAAGGATTAATCAGCTTTTCTCTTCCAGCTCTGCTGCTCACTGTGTGATTTTTGTGCAGGTCATTTAACCCCTCTGATCCTCGTGTTCCTGATCTGTGAAGTGGGAGCCATAGCGATTCTGGATTATAGGCTTGTGTGTGATCCATAGTGCCTGTTCATGACCTGGCAGGCAAGCACTTCTGACTCAGTATTCATGGAGAATGGGGCTTAATTCAGGCTCTTTTTTGATTGTACAGAGACAATTAACTTATTTTGCTTTGTACCCAATCTGGTCTCCATCCTAACCTTATCAGCTGTTCATTAAGGGTAAAAACTGACGTTTACTCCTCTAAGATTAGAAGTTCAATCTGATGTGGAGAGTCAGATGCTCCCTTTGGGAGCATCTACCTTGCATACAAATTCTGCCTCTCTCTAACCTTTTCCCTTTCCCCTGCTTTACTCTCCAAGTCACAGTTTCACCGGGCATTTCACCCATTTTTGTGACCTTAGCTAAAAGGACCCCCTGCCCGGCCTCCGGCTGGTTTTAGAAGTGAGTGGGCAGCACATGCTGGCTCTGGGCTGCCATCTACACTGCCTCCCTTTGGAGTTTCGGTCCGAAGCTGTGCTCAGCACTTACGCCTCGGGCACAGCCCCTCGGGAGCAGGGCTACCTCCCACCTGCACGCGTTGCAGGCTCTGCTCCCACTGGCAGTCCGGGCAGGTCTGTCCTGTCCTCCCCAGCATCAGGGTGGCCCTCACTCCCCCAGTTCATGTTGCAAAGGTGCCTCACCAACCACAGCCCACGACTGGCCCATAGCCCATCTGCTGGCCCTGCGAGCCTCCTGGAAGGGCTAACCACAGAGGCCCAGAAGGCCAGCTCCAGAGCTGGCTCAGTCTGCCAGGTGTGCGCTGGGTGCACCCAGTGCTCACAGCTCTCACGGTGGCCTCCACCCAGACATTCGGGCGGAGAGCTGCAGGAGACCATGACACTGATGATGCCCGAGGAGCGCCGTGAGGAGTTAACCCCACAATCACCTTGTTTATAGCAGTGAGTCCGGCCAAGCCTAAGTGCCAAGGTCAGAGTAACTGGCACCCAAATTCCATCCCCACAGTTAAACCCTTCTAACTAGAAGGACAATATTCTAATTACAGCCATACATCTATTCTGTCTGTTACGTTGCAAATTCAAGAATGCTTTGTCTTGTTCTTTATGAGCCTTGTTTACATTAACTTCCCTAGGAACTGCACATGGCTCGCCTTTACCCCAATTGACTGCTGATAAAAGTCAGTGCCTGCGACTGGCTGGTGACTTTGTCGGTTGCACCAACATTGGTCGTCCTGCCCCCCTGCTTTCTCTCCTTGTTCTGTCTCTCAGGCCTGTGTTGTACACTGGGCAAGTGGGGACTAGAGACCACGTCCATAGTCTAGTCCTCCTCTGGCATGTTGGAAGGAGACACTAATATATAAGCAAATGGCTTGGTGAGGATAGTAAATGACGGTAGTGTGACTGGTCGTTTGTTCTGGTAGTTTTAAAATGATCTAGTATCTGCCTGTGCTCTGGCATAGGTGTGTGGCTTGGCTTAGGAGTCGGAAGAATATGCAAAGTGAAGCCAGACACTCACTTCCGTCACTGCACAGCTGGGCAGCTGTGGGTCTATAGGTCACTCGCTAACACCGGCTTCATCACCGATACAGTAAGAGCATCAATCCCATCTGTTTCGTAGTTTCTGCGGAAATTTCCTATAGGAAAATATAATTCACATACACTGAACGTATGCTTCAGTGAGTTTCAATTCTGACAGGTACTTGGTAAGCATTTCGTATAGGTGTCCCTGAATCAATATTTCACTGTAAAGATTTGGATCAACAAAAATTAACAGGATACATTTATCTTTTGAAAATATATTTATTGAAACTAAATATAAAATTATCTAAGTAAGTAATCATCATCAGAGCAAAAACAATATGTGAGAATATTCTATGTCAATTGCAGAATAAGGTTTTTTTTTCTGTCTCTTGTTTTTGGCATTTGCCATAGGATGCTTAGTTGTTCAAAAGGTGTGATTACAGAAGTCTACGCTTTTTATGTTATTCACTTTTAATCAAATATCTGAACATCAGTAGAGATGGGGTGGGGGGACTGGCTGCTGTTTGCCATCGAGAACCTTTAATGAGAAAATGAGAGAATTTTCCCCGTAAAAGGCCTTGAAATGTTGCGTGGAGAAGGGATCAAATTGTTTTCTGTAGCTCGGTAGTGACACCTGGCTGGCCGGGTATCACCAGATGATTCATTTTGTGTGACAAGACAGAGACAAGTGGGGGATAAATGACTGCAAAACCCTGGAGAGGCTGGAAATTGCATGAGAAGTAATGTAAATATTCTAAATTAAATTTGAAGTAGAAATATCTACTTATGGACGTCTCTCTGATAATGGAAAGTTCTGCAAAGTGAATTATCATGTTTCTAACAGCAACAGCCAGCAAAAGATACTGGGCAGAGTTCTAGAAATGCAGTGGATTCTTAAGGAATTTTTAACTGTTTTCATGAATTATTTTGCTCAATATAAAATTGATGTGACCACTTTAGAAAATTTAGAAAGTGAAAGCAGCATAAAAATGATAATAAAAATCCTCCATGATCCCACCCCCGGCCCCCATATAATCATTATTAATGGTTCTTGGTCTGCCCTCCCTCCACCACTTTTGCTCTTCTATGAGGTGAGGCAAGTATTATTTGAGGTCAGGTCTGAGGCAGGGCACTATTAAGTTGCTGTATAGAGTGGGATAACATTCACCCTGAAGATCCTCTCGGTAGCTTGGGGACACAGTCTTTTAAGTGTCACGGAATAATTTGGAACTTCTCAACTATTGTACAGCAGTCGGGGACACTGAAAAAGATTCATTGTCATGGGCTCAGAAGCCCCATGGTGTAACTTTCAAGTAGATGTTTCCAATGAATAAGACTCATAATTGGTCCTAAACTGGTCCTGAACTAAAAAAACCCTGCAAGCAAAGTACCATGGATAAGAAATATGCAGGAAAATGGAGCAAACTAAGAGTAGAGTTGGAGGAAGAAGGGATCGATGGATGTGAAGACGACAGAGTGGAGCCAGGATCCACCCTCCCCCTAATCCAGCTCAAGCTCCCAGCTCCCAGCCTAGAGGTTCCTGGTGTCCTACCCCTCACAGAGGAACTCCTACACAGAAGATTCAGAGGAAAGATCTGAGGAAGACCTAGACTTCCTAATCCTGTGCTGTTCAAACAGGAAAAAGGATCAAAGAAATGAGATTTGAAATGGCACTGTAAATATGGCAGGTGCATATTTGTTCTAGATGCTTCCAGAGCTAGATCCGCCTGCCAAGTTGGATTTATAGTGTGCGTTCTGCTTTGCCTCGATGCAGCATTATTGAATTCAAGTAGATTCCTACAAGGCACTGTAATTGATAAGCTTTCTTTGTTCACTGAATCAGGAAGATTGTCCAATGGTAACTACAAAATAGTGAATTAAAAACTGAATTGAAGAGAAAAAACTTGATATTTCATTATATCACATTTGTCACATATAAAACCAGTAAAATGTATGAGTTACGCAGCACAACGAAGTGAACCTTTGGAGCCCACCATGTTCATGGAGCTCCACACTCTCCGCCAGCACCCTCCACACTTCCCAAGCCCCTCACTCTGCCCGGTCCTCACAGATAGCTGTAATCCTGAATTCTTACCATTCTCCCTCCTTCTCTTCTGTGGTAACTACAATCCTGAGTTTTGTTGAACATTCCTTTGCTATATTTTCCCCTGTGTAATATATTTCTAGTTATGACATTGCTATATTTTGCTTTCTCATTTTTCTTTCTACAAATCTACCTATATCACCGCTTATATACCTTTTCTTGTCTCCATGTACAATCACTTTGGTCAAATTCTTTGTTATTACACTGTTGTTACGAATATTCCTCTATGTGCACACATGCAAGATTTTACCTAAGGGATGTGCGTGTGTGTGTATGGTGGAACATCTTGGTCATAAATTTTACACCTACTCATCTGTAAAAATAATGCTTTTCTTTTTTCAGAAAAACTGAGCTCCTTTGCCAGAGGTGTGTAAGAATTCCCATGATTCATACCTTCACCAATGCTTGACAATGTCAGACTCTATTTTTGCCAATATAACGGCTGTAAAAAGGCATTTCAGTATGATCTACATTTGCGTAGCCCAGGTTTCTAATGAGATTGACCATTTTTCCACATGTTTGTGGCAGTTTTTGTTGTCTCTCCTGTGA